GAAAGTCCTGATGAAAAACGCTCCGACACGAATCAATTCCCTGCTGGACGGAAATTGGTAGACGTTCAATCTTCGGGCCGCGCGGGAATAACCTTGTGCGACCGGAAATACTGTACGTACGTCCTATTTATCGTCGTAAACGCGCTATCTTCGGTTCGCGCGCGATATCGTAAATTGTAGTCAAAGGTAATTTGAACGCGCGAAAATTTTCATTGTGATAGAGAAACGATACTTTCTCTCTCTCTCTCTCTCTCTCTTTCTCTCTCTTTCTCTCGCGTATGCATCCGTGCCATTTATAAAAGTGGCGATCGATATGCGACTCGCCGTCAGCTTTGAAAAATAAAAGCACTTCCGCCAGTTTCTGTAAATCGTAAGCTGCGATATATCTTGGGGGAGATTCGTAGCCTCTCGTTGGCATGTTCTTCCTAGAATGAAAGATGAGCGAGCCTTTCTGGTTCGCGGAACACGTATTTCAGATTAGGGTGAAAGGATCCGAGGAAAAAACTATAACTGTAATTCAGAAAATATAAAACAAAGACAACTTTTAAACTTACAATTCGCGTAAAAATTCGGAACGGAATTCTATTCGTATAAATTTATCGTGTCGTGCGACACAAAAAATATTTTAAATATAATGTAAAATACTAAAATATACGCATGTATAAAATATTATTAGAATGCAATAAAAATGTTCGACATATAAAATTATAAATAGAGTTCTGCTCTAACTTAGGAATAGTCACCTATAGTTTCTTTTTGCGTAAATAATGACCCAGTGTTTTTTATACTCTAATTAAAAGTCATTATATTATTACACTATTATTAACTACATATTGTGTATTATTGATTGTTCTATAATTAGTATTTGAGATTATTATGTATAAAGTATTATTTATAATGTATATTTAAAAAAAAAAAGGAAATAAAATATAGATTTTCAATCAGAAAAGAAAACTACTGTGACTAAATTCATTTTGTTACTGCTGAGATATAAAAAATTTCGCGCCTCGTCCTCAGGTGATTATTCTAGGATTAAATAAAGAATAAAACAAACAGATTTCTATCGGATCTGACGCGAATCTGATCGGCAAAGTGGGCGTCAGGGAAATCGCGAGACCGCGCTTTGATATTAGAGAATTGAAAAAACAACAACAGATCAACGAGGCAGATATTTGATCGTAAAACTGCCGAATAAGGGCTCGGTTGTTTGTTTGTTTTCGTAGTAAACAAAAAAAAAAGAAGCGCGGAGTCGGCAGTGCATCTTTCGCAGCCTAGTTCGCGGCTCGTGTCGCGGCGCATTTTGCAGTCGCGCACACACGGTATGTATATGTAGTATCGCGTCGCGGTGACGCAGTATGCCAGCGCGGATGGGGGTGGAAGGACAGTTCCGCGAAATTGTCGGCTGAGGGAAGAGACCACCCGGCGGCATTCGGGGGAAAGAGAGAGATAGATAGGATTAGAGAGAGAGAGAGAGAGAGAGAAGAAAAAGTAAGAGAGTGGAAGGGAGACCCCCAAAGACGCAAAGCGACGACTGGCGAAGACCGACGAGGACACGGGGTTGCGGGGGTTGCGGGCATCCGCATGTACCGTTGCGGCGCGGCGGCGCCGTATAGTACGGCAACCCGCCACTCGCCCGGGCGCCACAGTCTCTATCTCCGCATGTTCGGAGCCGGCTGAGGACGGTCACGACTCCGTCGGCGCGGCTTCATCGTTCATCCCATCTCGTTTTGCCACCAGCGAAATGGTAAGTCGAGCGGTAATCCATTGAGTGTCGCGTTACATTGTTATCGTATTGTACAAAAACGGCCGGCGTTTTAGAGGCTCTCCGGGGGGGGGAGAGGAGGGTGAGGAGGGGAGAGGGGGTTTGGGTTGTTGGCCCGACCGGAAAGTCGAGCCTCCGCGCGAGCAATAGGATAGTTTGTAAGAAAAATGGGGAGCCCGAGCGAGCGTCTCTCACATGACTCACATCTCGCGCACGATGCATCGTATGTCGCAGAATATCGCTCGCACGCGCGTGTATCGTTCGTTGAAAGAGGTTGCGTCAGTTGCGTGACTGCGACAGAAGACGTGCGGCGCAGACCGCCCGCAGCTGCCCGCAGCTGCGGCGGCGTGTTGTCTGCTGCCTGTCATCTGTTTTACTTGCGACTGGTCAGCCCGCGTGCAGCCGCGTGTAACGGAAATCGCTTACGACGCTTACAAGTCAAACGGAGGAAAAGGATGCTGATGACCGGGAGAGAGGGGGGGGGGAGGGGAGGAGGAGTTAAATCGCGGTGGAGAGCGATATAGAGAAGGCGTGATGTAAAAATGCAGCTTCCGCCCCCGCGGCACTTAATGCGACGCTCTCTAATGACAGGAAGAACGGGGGACATCGGTCCGGGAGTTAGTGCGCGGTTAGTCTCACGGTTACGAAATTTCACCGCGTGATCGCAGCACGTGACGGGAAAGCCACTTGCGCACGGCTTCTTAAAGTTATAACGTCGGTTGCATTTCCGATTTTTTTTTTTTTTTTCATCGTTCTGAATCATTTATATGCTGCACGTAAATGTGTGTGTTGGACAACCTTGTACATACTGCGACTGAAATCTAATTTTCAGCGCATTACATAATGCTTTAAAAAAGTTTTCCGCGTCAATATTAATTCTCATCCACCTAAGGATCGATCTCACTAATTCCGATTAACGTAATCTGCCAATTAATTTTGTCATCTGAATTGCCAACGGCAAGATTTTAAAATCTATCTCAATTCTTAATCTATTCATGATAAAAAAAAAAGTATGGATATAATAATAAATTAGAGATGATAAGAAATTAGGATAATAAGAAATTCTAGATGATATATATATATATATATATATATATATATAAAAGAAATTAGAGATGATAAATTTTTCGTTCAACAGTTGGCAACTTTTAAATTTAATCGATCGATCAACTTGATCAGCGTTAGTGAGACCGGCCCCTAGTCGCTATAATTGCGTCGCATCCAATCTGAAAGCTAATCGAAATGTCACGGAAGAACGAGTCTTTCTAACAAGTCATTATAAAACAACCAACATTGCAAAGGCATCATAATTTTTGCATTTGACTCTTTTACGCTCAGAAGAACATATGTTTAAAAGTCATATTCCTGATACATATTGAGTTATCAAATAGAATTCATTCTAAAGGAAATTACCAAAAGTTTTAGTAAATACTATAATTATAATAATTACTATCATAAAATTCAGAAAGTTTATTTGCGTAGCAACATCCAAAGTTTATGGACTAATTATGAAAGATTTTTGCGCGTATCTTCGAGCGACGATTACTCGAGAATCGTTTCTTTGTTTTGTAAATTGAATCTATATTTTGCAATCCTAAAAACACATCTCCAACTTTTATTAGAATTTGGAGATTTATTAGAATTTTATTCTTTACATTCGCTTACGTTAAATCTGCTACTTTGAATTTTTATGATTTGACATAAAGAATCGTTTTTATATTCAACGATTTAAAAAAATCTCGTAATACACAATTTCATTAGAATTTGAAAATGTTTTATTCTTTCTATTCCGTTTTAAATTTATATATTCTACTTTGAATTCAGCGATATAAAAAATCTGATAATAATACTAGATAATAGTAATCTGATAATAGATACTTGTCTTCTCAAAAAAAAAGAAATGGACATGTAAAACTAATATTTTTTCTTACGCACGAGAGCATATTATGATGAAATAAAAATATATTATATTATGATAGTTGATTCGCCCTTTTTATAGTTATTTAATTATTTTCGACTTAGATGGGGAAAAAGAGTGAGAAACGCAAAGTTCCAAGTGAAATCGCGCTCTAAACATTCGTAATTTTGAAAGCGTAACTGTGCGATGTATCCGGTCTAACGATCATTAATATGCATCCGCTTACATATTGATCGTTGACGCGTACATATTGATCATTTAGTGAAATATATAGATCGCATGGCTCTCGTGCCTGCATAGACATCTTCCTTCGTAGTAATTAAAACCAGGAAATTAAACCCCGTGCATTTCGTATTCGAGTATTATAGCTATTTGTGGGATGACCGCTCGAGAATTGGCGTATCGATCTGTTTTTCTTTACTGGTGGGAGATTAAGCTGCCGCTTTCGAAAGAGTTTGGAATACGACGTGAAACGAAGTAGTGCAATTTACTGTGCCTTAGCTTATTGAGCCACGACAAAGCTTTTAAGCTTTCTTACAAAACAAGTTGCAAACTGAACGATACTTTTGTACACACTTTAAGATTATTGTTCATTTTGTGTGAGTGTGTACATGCGACAGAAAGAAATATATATATACATACATACATATTTGTAAGAATGTGTATCATTTTATATCAGAAAACGTTAAGAAAACTGTACACAGTTATGATTTTTTTCATTTTTTAATGACTATAAAAATTTCGATATATTAATTAAAGTGGCATCGAAATTATAAATATGTATTGTATATAAGTATATACAATATAAATAATATATTATATTTAATTATAATTAAATGTAAGTATGAATATTATCTGAAATGCAATGTTGCGCGTGATTTTATCTCGTGTCCCCTAGTATAATCCAATAATAGAAATCTTTGTCCTCCGCATGAGTTTACTATAATAAGCTTTAGTATAATAAGCCTTTGTGTCTATGATTACGGTAGAAAAGTTACTACAACCGATAAAACTTCGATGCTTGTAAAGTACTATTTATTACCGTTGTATTTCCTCCAGAAACTTAATCGGAAGATTACTATTTCATTCGGCGCCGATAAATTTTACCCAGGATATTACTAACAAATTGTTTTTTGCGATTAAAGCTGTGTATGTTTCAGAAACATGTCCAAAAGCCAAGTTTTTAAATTTAGTTATAATTTAAAGTTTGTCATTTAGTTTAAATTATCATAAATTGTGACGAGTAAGTCTTGTTCAAGAAATAGAAATAATGTGTAACAAATGATAAAAATTTCTTAAAAATTATAATAACAAACTCACATCTCTCTCTGCGTTTCTTCGGCGCATTGTTGTTGCACAAGAAAATATCCAGGGCTGGTCTCACACTAATCGCCATCTTCTTAGCTAGAATTATAGAATTAGCTACAATTAGCAATTGTAAAAACATGTATTTTACATAAATAATTCGCAGAAAATAGACAAAAAAAACAAAGCGTGAGTTTTAAGTTTGCAATTGGCATTTCTTAAATGTAATCGATCAAGCTAATCGGGAAATGATTAAACCAGCTTTCAAATCTATCCTTCCAAAGCTCTCCGAATTTTATACAAATATAAAATAGTTGCGCGTGTGCATTTAAGGTACTTGCTGACGCAACATTGGCGGACAATCACCATCGTCATCGTACCTTCGCGACGAATGGTAACCCGGAAGGCATCACGATACGCAACCTGGTGGACGGTGAGACCTTGACTTACAGCTTGGCCCTGATAAGGGGTCGTGCACCCGGGCTATGCAGTTACATCACCGTACGGGGTCACAAAAACGTGACCTCGGAGTGGCCGATCATCGCCGGGCAATTCCGTGTCCTGGTGGATCTGGCACGTGGTCCGAACAAATTGGAACTCGAGGCGGGCGGGCATAAAAGAAGATTAGTCCTCATATACGAACCGAGAACCACCAGGCTACGGGTGACACCGGTCTACGTCATCTGTGCGGGTCACGATGGTTATTTTCAGGTAGCGAGATAAAAATAAATTATATTTATATAGTAATCTCGCAAGCAAAGTATGATAGAAATTATTTTTACATTTTGCATGACTACTTCGAAGTCTTAAATCGCAAAATAATTTCAATAATCGCATTTTAATCGATATTATTGAGATTCCGTCACATTCAGGAAATATTTCTTCGATTAGCTATGATTGATACTTCAGAAACATAATGCAGATAAGTGAGCGTGACTCATAATTCAGCTACTCGGGGAACGTAGCATGCACTCCTCCAATTATCGATCGCCATTCTGTTGCATGAATAACCGTGCCGTCGTGTTAGCCTTGCCTACGTTATTCCAGCGCGATAATACGATTGTTCTCTCTCGATTGCTCAATCTCGTGAAACGATTACAATCTTTTGCGACGTATTTAGTATCGAAGTTATCACGGGTCACGGTCTGATGTGCATTTTCAGGGTCCACGCAATGAGGATCGATCACCCGAGAGCGCGGCGACGAGAATAGGGCTCGGTGCCAGGCTTCTGCAGACCCTGGCGGCCGAAAAGCTTCACGAAGCCGGTTACGGCAGAAAGACCTTCCAGCTGGAAAGGGACCTAGACGGTCCGGAATGCCTGGTGATGCACAGCATGCTTCACGTGGACCAGGCACGTGCGATGAAGCAACGAGAGCTGTGGGAGTTGATCGCGCGCGAGCTGATGACCGGTCCCTTGGCGTCCAAAGATCGCAAATACCTGGCGTTTTTGTCCTGCACGCGATATCGCGGCGCGCCCAGCCCTCGCACGCACGAGGACACCTTGGCGAGAACGCAAGGTCACGCGGCCCTCGGCGGGGGTGGCCTAGCGCTCTTCGGCTCGGCGTGTCTTCACACCTGGCCTACGTGTATGGCTCAGGTTGGTTGACATTGATCATTGACTAATTCGATGCGACAAAATAGGTCTGCTTTTTATTTCATATGAGACGCTATACCGAAGAGAGTATTTAGAAAGTAAAGTTGCATAATTTACTTCAGGTATTACCGAGATTCTTGGACACCACTGTCATCGACACCGAGCAGCTGATGGACGACAGTAATTATCGCGGCACGCACGGTGGCTGCTTGGCGACAACGTTAGGCTCCGTCCTGCACGAACTTGGTCACACCTTCGATCTCGGTCACACACGGGAGGGGATAATGGGTCGAGGATTCGATTACGTCGATAGGGTTTTCGTGGGCGCGGCTGGAATCGATTTCAATCGTAATCCTATTAGAAGAGATCCCCAGCATACGACCGTCGCCCTAAGCCGACCGCTCAGCGTCACGGTAACTGTGCAAGAGCCCGTACTGTCGAGTCCACGAAGGGGTAGATTGCTCTCGGAAACATCTAGACCCGCGTCGTTTACTTCGAGACAGTTACCCGGAAGACTCTCAGCGCCAGCTAGTCCTGAGCTTAATAGATCTCTCTCTAAGAGCCTGATTGCCTTGGAACCTCCTTCACAACCTGATCGAACATTCTGGGGGCCATCATGCGCAGCGTTGCTTGCGTATCATCGCTGGTTCAACAGCGAAACGGACAATCTTTCCAATAGACATCATCACGAGATAGAATACGACGGGAAAAGGTGAGTTGGCTGTTACCGACGATATGCTCATTTGTTTTGGAACGGTATTAATGATATGACGACTATAATCTCTTCTTAAATTACTTTTTGTTTATATACCTATCAGTAACAAAATCTCAATAAGTTTCAGCATGACTGTTTTTAATAAATATGATTTTATTTTCTATCAGAAATGTGGTGAGATCACGATACGGAGTACGAGTAATAGAACTTAGAGAGACGTCGGGTGGGATGGTTGTGGGTTCCCGCCAATTTCCTGGCTTACGACCACCTTTGGAGGCTTTAGTTCCACCACCTCCACCCCACTGCCTCACCACTCTTACCCTCGTTGCCGAAGACTCCACCGGGAATGTGCTCAAACATCCTCTTCCTACTGCCTTTTAAAGGTCAACAGAAACAATGATGCATAATTTTATTTTCTAGTCCAGCAAAGGTTGTTACGGTTCGTAAGTAATATTGGCTTGATATACATATTGTAAATTATCCAAAGAGATTATATTTTTTTGTTTGTTCCTCGTTTAAAACTCTGTTAAGTATTTTAATTAAATGTGTACAGAAATAAATTTTCTATTAATATCTTACGCGCTAATTATATCTGTTAATGAGTCCGCATAGATAAAATGAGATATTTTTAGACATATATTATATATATATCGCAATAAACTGAGTGAGAATAAAAATTTAGAAAATGATATCTACGAAGATATCTGCAATTTAATTTTTATTAGTTATGCAATTTTTTTTAATTCTATAGAAATAATATCAAAATAAATCTCTAGTTTCTATAATTATTTAATGTGAGAACATAGAGTTAAATCGTCCAGATACCTCACGGCAGTGATATCACAGTTTTCGTTTAGAATTATTAATCAAAGTATTATACTGCCATTATATATCCTTTGCTTCTGAAATTATAAATACGATCTCGGCTAGAATGAAGGCAATTTGCATATGGAATTTGAAGAAAAACCTTCCGAATCACAATAACTTAATAACTTTATGTTGATGCTATATTACGCTATTCCATTAGAAAATTCCATTTATACAGTGGAATTAATAAGTATTTATGTTATAAATTATATCTTCAAACACACGTTTTGTACAGCTGAAAATCAAATAGAAGCTTGTATCCACTATACACATACTATATAACTGACATATAGATGATATGGATTTTATATAACAATGATGGCTGCGTTCAGCAAAAAAAAGCGGCTTTGCAACTATTGTAAAATTCTTTAATATGATTATACATTTAGATCCATGAAGAACAAAGGACAAGAATTAATTAATATATATTTAAAAATCTCACGACAGTTGCAAAGTTGCTTTCTCTACTGAACGCAGCCAATGTATGATGTGGTGTAGTCAAATATTTGATAACACATCTTGCTCATGTACAACTCTTTCCATGTTGTCGAATATGCAGGGAACTACTTTATAATATTATTTTGTAACAATAGCTCTCTAGCGTTCCTTGAACTAGTCTCAACCTCTATTAATGAAATGTAATTAATAACATTCGTAACGTGCACAAATGAATATTACAAATGAGGAGTGCATTTAGTTATAAGGAAGTGCTTGTGTAATTATACGTTACGGACATTTCATATAGAATAGTCTTATGTATGCAATTAGACACACACTTATGTAAGTAGAATTTTTAAAAAGACGAAATTTGACATGAGTTCTAGCAAAGTTGTTAGGGCATCTGTATATTATTAACTGTTTGAGTGCCACGCAGCGCGATCATGTTCCTCACTTTTCTTGTTGAATAATGCCAAAGAGCTGATAATGCGCTCAGCTTTTACTGCAATTCTCAGAATCAGGTTTTAATCGAAAAGTGTTTGTTTCTCAATTTGTTGGAAATACGATTTAAAAAATTTATATACAGTAAATTTTATTTTTCCTTATCATATACGACACTTTATGGCATTTTCCGACAATGAAGCGGGAGAAACGCGAACGTGGCCGTTTGGTATTTTTCGTACGGATTTTTACGATCACCTTCAGCACTCGAACGGTTAAGCGTATATAATGTACACAATATATCCTAAATTATTTTAATAAGTTAGGCTAGTGAACCAAAAACTACAGAGACAATATTGTACCACAAATCCTGAAAAACTGATAAAAATAATCTATGTAATAATTGAACTAAAAATACAAAGTTAATTAGAAATATGACTAACAAAACTTTTTTTATCCATTTCTGTTTTATGTTTTTATACAGCTTGCACAGTCAATATGAAACAGTGTATATGATTATCACAGTTTACAATGTATATTAAATATGAAATTCGATACAGATATAATAATTATAACTATAATGCGATTCATGAAATTAAAATGTTTTGGAAATTTAAAGAAACCTTGAAGAAAACTTTTCAGTGATGTTATTTCAAAAATGTATCAAAATTACTATATAATTTTGTTATGAATAAAAATTTTAGTATAAAATAAAAAGTATATATTATAAGTTAAACATATAAAATACAAATAATATATTTTTTATTTGTAGCCTGACTGTACAAACTACATAAATTTGTGTTGCAAAACTGTAACGTGTAACGTACTGAAAAAAATTCTTATCGCTTAAATGCTGGTAAATGCATAGCGACGGTGATAGTGATAGCCGATATCGGACTTTTTTTCTCAAGTACGTCGTAACTGTCACAAAAAATTGCACGTAAAACGTGAACAACAACGTAACCGTGTATTTCGTTACTTCGAAGTATGACGCGTGCATGCAAGTACAATTGATCTGAGATATAACCTAGAACATGTCAGCCTCCGATTCGAGCGTTCAAGGAGACGCTTGTGCAGTGACAGGATCCGATGTCGGAGTGCAATTTCCCGAAATAATCGACGACAAGATAAACACCGAGAAATTTTTGCTGGCCTCCCGCGATATCGTGCGGACAATCGGTGCGTACCCCATTCTCGACCCTTTTAACCTCAAATGTTGCCCGCGGAACCGGAATCGCCGAGCGATCACACGCGAATCTCACTTTAAATACAACATGACGCGCGACAGGAACAAATCTGTGTTTCAGATAAATTTGGCAAATTGTTTGCGCCCGTGCGATACGACATGCAAGGCAACATCGATGTAAGTTAAACAATTTTCACCAGGACGGTGCTGGCACGCAGTTCTCCGTGGATCTTGAATTGGCATGTGTATTTTTCAATTGCAGAAGCTCACGACCAGGTATTCTATGGATAAAACGGCCAACTCGACTCTACAAGACATGATCTTGCTCGAAAAATCTACTGAAAGTAATCTCATCGCGGTCGATGCCTTAATGTGGTTAAGAAGGTATTGAATATGCATTTACAAATGTATGCGTCGACGTTTTCAGTCTTCGGGCGAAATGTTTTGCCTAATAATACTTTTTGTGAGTTTTATTCTTTGTAACAAATTTTTCACAGATTCTCATATCAGTAATATCAATTTAATGTGAGATTATATTTTAGCATATAACATTTCAAAGCCAAATATGTAGTAATCAGTGCATGCATTATAAGAAATGTACAAAACTCACAAAAATTATTATTAGGAATGAAATTCTGTCCAATGACTGAAAATGTCAATATTTATTTATTTACCCTATGCTATACACGTTAATCGCTATTTAGTTATTAATAAATGTATCCCCAAGTTCTTTCGAATACATGCTTGTATATAAAACTTTTATTTAGTGGCTGTTACATATTGTAGGACCTTACATCTGATATTACTATTCTTCGAAAGAATCATAGAGGCTAATAAAGCAGGAGAAGCAACAGAAGATTTGGTCGCATTCTTGAGAGAAGCGTACAAGGAAACTTTAGAGCCATATCATGGCTGGATGGCACAACAATTGTTCAATGTAATTATATTTTTCTGTATGTCTATATATGTTAAAATGTAACTTGTTAAAAATTGTAACACCAGTGTATTTGATTTTGTTGCAGCTCCTGTCGCGTATGACGCCTTCTCGTTCGCAGCTCCTACTGTCGTTAGCGGATGGAAACCCAGGGAAAGAAGATGTTACTTTAAGTAACATGGAGATATCCTTAATAAACTTAAGGAAAAATGTAATAGCTTTAAAAACGTTTTATCACGCTCATGGTCTAGAAGCGACCACCGTAGTATGATATAAAGTATACTAGAGTTCAATATATCTTCGTTATAGAAAAGATACTGCCGGAGAAGATAAATAAGTAAAATTTATACAAAAGAAAGATGGTAACGAAGCTAAGAGAAATTTTATTATACGCATATTTATTATACGCTTATAAAAAGTGATTTCTTATATATTACATTTTTATAGCTTCCAATTGAAGTACAAAAGTTAATTTTTATTAAAATGTAACATATTCATGTTACATTAAATCTTAGCATATCAATAATGCAATAATATTGTTATAATAATGTTATAATAATATAGTAAAATTTCGAAATAAAGTAATATATATTAATGTCTACTATCATCAATCCCATATAATTGTGCGACGTAAAATCTTTTAGCATGATGGTCTGCCGATTTCTTTAAAGCTACAGTAGACGTTATAATTTCTGTAATTAGTAAAAACGCCATGATACTGTTAGTAATTGTTTCGCTAATATGAGGTCTGGTTTTGCTATCGAAAAGAAGGAACATCTCTAATGGAAAATGTATGAGAGTGGATATCAGCCAAAAGCTTGCCAGTTCTGGAATCTATATATAAAGACAAAAAGACTCTTCAATTCTAACATTTGTCCAATTTATCTACCTTATTGAGATGTAAATTACCTTCTCTGCTAAATTTCCAAGATATCCCAAGTACAGCCGTATACCTTCCAATATTGATATAACAATAAATACAGCGACAGTTATAAATTTGTATACGTCTGTCAAGTAAGAGTACTGTAAAATATGAAAGAATATCTATCCGTCTTCTATTCTACTTATAGATTTTTTTAATTTCACTATATTTTGTTATATATTTACTTTTGCATCTAAATTGACAAGTATCACAAAAAACCATACAGGATACACCCACACATTAAAATACAATGCCATTTGGAGTGGCAGGTTGGACTGTATTTGATTTCCTGTAGAAAGCAAATAGTGAGCCAAAGATATATTATAGGTATAAAAAATTATAAATATACAAAATCTAAATAAATTAAACATTATTATAAAATATAATCGAGACCATAAAAGTTCAAACTAAATACATTTTTAGAAACGCTATATGCGGTCTATATATATATATATATATATATATATATAATACTGCGGTCTATATTATATAATACTCCATTACTTAAAATTTAATAATTTAAAATATAAAATTCTATAATTAGTTTTATAATAAAAACAATTCATTAATTTTTAATATTATTGTTGCCTTGAATCAATTAATGTTCAAAAAATCTTATTGATACATTAATCATTAATCGATTCATAATATTAATGTGAGCGGTAACAATAGATCAATTAAGACAGCGTAAATATTTACTATTTCCGTTTCTCATGGCAACAACTGCTACCTATAACGATACGATATAGAACGCAAGATGTATACCTATGTCATGAAATTCTTTTTTTCGATCGTAGTACGCCAGACCGGGAAATAAACGATCCGACGCAGTGACAACTGACGTCCTCCACATCCGCATTGCTTATAACGTGTGATTCTCACATTCAGAAAAACGACAAAATTTAAATACACATTTAGAATTAGGAGGTTTATATTTCTGGTTTCTTGCATGACCAGTTGTGACGATTAACCACCTGCTACCAGTGCTGCCAAAACTGTAACTTCAAATGTACAGTCATCTAACAAATGTATTGAAGATAACAAGTTATCTAATAAAATACTAAACTTTCATTATCCACAATTTTTGTTATAATCTCACAAAAACCATAAAATTCTACATAATTATAATATATAGTATTTTCATTAAAGATATTAAACAAGAGCAATAGTTAAATTAATAGTATAACAATAATTATTATTCTTATTCTCTGAGTGTAAAGCGCAAGGATTGATAGATTTACAACTTTTATGTTATTATTTTGATCCCTTTTAAATTAATGTACTTGACGCAAAACATAAAATTGTCGTATTTGATAAACATTATTACATAAGACTCGTATTGATTCTATATAAAAATTTAATATAACATACATAATGTTGTTATATTTACAAGTTTAAAGTTTATATTATCTCTCGGAAATGAAACATCGTCAAAAAGAAATTGCAAGTTTAGTGTAACGACGGATCAAGTTCGAAATTATTGTTATTACTGGAACATTTATGGGCACAGTAGATCACACATCTCCACTAACTACGATCATTTCTTTCCGGATTTTTTTATGCCACCAGTGACCAGAGGGCCCTTTTGACTGGCTTTCTTTGCTGCCTCCGCCAGCGCTTTTTGCGCTTCCTTTTGCTTTTGTTTGAACGCTACATCTTCTTCGTCCATAACCTTGCTGTCCTTCTTTGGTGCCTTCAAGGGCTTCTTCTTACCTCCTTCTCGGCCAGACATTCTAAAATACACAAAAATTAATCACACATGTTATCTTGATTATCGCTTAGAAATGACATTAACTTTAACATACACACACATATATATATTGTATTAACTCAGGAATAGTTATCCAGGATTTAATTTAATAATCCGTGATTTTGACCCCCAGGTGGTTGTTTATACAATAAAAACTAGATGACTAATATGCCTATTCTTAATTTGAATTAAAAGTCACTATTATTAATTATACATTGTATGCTATTGATTGTTTTACAATTTATTAGTATTTGAAATAATTACATAGATTTATTCAATATTTTCTTTAAAAAAAAAAACATAAGAAAAAAATTTTGTTAAGGTATAGATTTTTGATCAATAAAGAAAACTGTAACTGAGCTTTACTGTTTCGTCTTTGTTAGGGTTTACAATATAAAAATCTTATATTATCCCAGGTGACTATTCCCGGAGTGGATCAATATAACCTCTGTTGAAACGAAAAGCAATCGAATTTCAAACAAGTTTATTTTACAATAGCAATGTATAATATTAACAATTATGCCATTAATATCAGCACAAAATTAAGTGCACGAGGCATCTAAATATGTGGAAAATATTTAAAAATTAATAGATGCGACACACATATTCACATGGAAACAGTAACACATACTATGCAAATACTACTCTCACGATTATGAAATTCTGTCAGTATTTGAGTCACCGACTTACTTGCAGCTGTACTAAATTTCCAGACAGAGTCGCGAGATACAAAAGCGAGAAGAGATTCGTTATTCCGTTCCGGTGAAGATCAACAAACGTGTTTACGCGGCACGATAAATTTTTTTCGAGCTGAACGCACAGATCGTGCTGCCGCAAGCCGTGAATAACGAAGCTCGGCGAATACCGAATCTCAGGTGTGTTCCTCTCGTACCTGAATTCTCTGTACTTTTCCTTCCCTCTTTTATCTTCTTTTTATCTATATAATTACGTCAGAATTTAAGATAGAATTTCTATTTATGTTTTATTTCTATTTATCGTAGAATAAAAAATATCCGAAGAGTCAGATTATTATGTATGTACATTGAAATGTATAAAATACATCAAATTATAAATTCTGTCTTGAAATCTGAGTAAAGTACAGATCATCTAAAAGACATTATATGCGTTTTTCATTTTAATTCCAGAAAGTGTAATGTGATTATAAAAACAGATCCATTGTTGGCTCTTATATAAAAGAATAACGTTTCATTGTTCGAAATAATAAGATTCAGCATCAGATTGTGAGACACACGATTTTTAATGAGCAAAGATCTTATTTACGATCGATTTGAAGATTCGCAATGTTGTTCAATTTTAGCGGTAAATATGCAGCACGTAAGTTGTATACATATTTCAATTTATAAAAATTCAAATTCGATTGAGGCAATTCAGTTTTGATCGTCTTAAGAGCAAATCCCTTTTTCGTTACATATTTGATCAACATCTCTGAATAATGTCGCTGAATGCAAAAGTTAATATATTATTATTGCGAATGACGCTGATATCTTTTTCACTCTTCTGTTTTGTCCAAAAAATCGAGCGTTGGTAGCAGTGACATTATTATTGGGACGATGAGTTAAAGGCTGTAGTCCATTTGATGCTGCAGATTCTTTAAAGCGTACGATTTCTTTGCCTTGATTGGTCAATCGAACGCCTGCTAGTATCTCAAGTCCCCTAGTTTAAAAAAGTTTCTTATATCTTGCATTATATTACACGTTGCGTTACGAAGTTTTTCTTCCTCCTCACTTCCTTTTAGAAAGTGAAGAAAACGCACAGTCAAAAAGAATGACTTGAAATATTATGCTTCTTCAAAAGAGCAACTCGCATTTCCTAAACACAAGAATTACAAAACAGAATATCTTGCTCTCTTGGTGGGGGCAAGATATTCGAACGAATAGCTCGACCGTTAGTATTCGCTAGTGAGTTTGCTTCGCGATAATCAGTAGAGCGGTGATAGTAGAGCAGACAGAATAAGCGAATAAGTTGCTTGAGAAGAGAAAGATTCAATACGTGACGATCAACATTGAAACAATTTACATCTCTCATTCACGTAACTAATATATTTCATTATTTTATTTAATAATCTCGTATTAGTAAACCTAATATAGAATTTTGTTGAAACAATGTGTCAGACGTCAAGGCGTAATAATGAAGATTATGTAAAAAATATTTGCATATATCAGCATCTTCTGTAGAATCTAAAAGGATTTTTAATATAACTGGGAAAATATCTGATAAAAAATTGATAGTTGAAATGAACATTTCAATATGCCCACTTTTTCTGAATAAAAAGTAGTGTTTTGCTTAAAATATATTTATAAATACAAGTTATGAATTTTATATAGATATAATTAGAGAAAGTTTATTTTTTTTTTAATTTTTAACAGCTGACTCTTCGTCCTCTTCGAGTTAGTTACAGTAATTTTGTTATTGGCATTGACAAAGTGAAAGGAATAAGTCCTTGAGATTGTTTGACAATATAGAAAATAAACAAAAATGACCGCGTTACAATTTATAATCGCTGATACGTCTACGTAATTGTCATTATTTTTTTTTAATTGTAGTTTAGAATCAATAATCTCTCTCTCTTTTTCTCGTGATTTTTACTACATCAAATTTTCTTCAATAAAGTAAAATTCTTTAAAGCTTTTTAATTATTATGATTTTTTTAAATAAACGGAAATTAAATGTCATGCATAATTTAGGACTGTTGCGCCGGATTTACTCAAGAGTGTATTTTAACATGCCACCTAAATTGGAACTAATTGCCGCAGCATGCGAAAATATGGGCATTGGAGTAAATGGCGATTTGCCTTGGCGTTTAAAGTAAGATTGTTAATATATTAATAAACTGTACACGTGATTTGCGAGAGAATATTTAAACGAAGTTGATTCGTACGTAGGATGGAAATGGCGTACTTTACGCGCATGACGACCGACACAAAGCACAAAAATAAAAAGAACATCGTTCTTATGGGTCGACGCACGTGGGAGTGCATCCCCGGCAAGTATCGACCCCTGAAGGATCGTATAAATATGGTGTTAACTTCGCAATCATTGTAATTATGGATAAAATAAAAAATGTCAAAAAAAAAAATTTAATTCTACAGAAAACAATAGATGGTATATCAATTTTAGGGATTACGGAGACGAGGCGATAGCGTGTAAGAGTATAGCACACGCCCTCGACGTGATTTCAGGAATGGAGAATCAAGTAGAAAGGGTGTGGGTAATAGGAGGAAGTAGCGTGTACAAGGTACTTGTGTATGATAAATAAAATATGTACACATTTTTAAAAGATAGGTCTGTCCTTTTCAGTTACACAATACGCATAGATATTTCCTTCATTTAACACGAATCAAATATTCACAACTCAAAAAGGAAAGAGAAATAAATTGAAAAACAGAAAGTGCGACTAAAAGAACAAACCTGTATGATACTGTGACGAAAGTATAAATATTGCTAATACAATTTAAATTAGATGTAATAATTATTATATAATTTCTAGAGTGCTATGGAATCTCCGCACTTCGGACGATTGTATCTGACGCGTATAAAGAAAAAATATGAATGCGATACGTTCTTTCCCCCGATCCCAAATGACTTTGTATTAATCGAGTAAGTATTAATGTTTGTTTAGATTAGATTTGATATTTCATATTCATATCGCTGCCTAATAATAATTCCAGGGATCCAACAGTACCACAAGGTACACAGGAAGAAAATGGAATTGAATTTGTTTACGAAGTGTATGAAAGAAGATAAAATAGCAGAGCTACTTCCAACAGTTTCAACCATTTAAACTGTAAATAAATGAAATCATTTTTATAAATAATTTTTTGCTGCATCTGCAATATAAATATGGGATATCACAAAAACATTCATATTGTCGATTATAGTTCTAATAAATAAATTCATATTATTGAAAATATTTTTTATACAATATTCTTTAATCGTATGTTTCCAACATTTTATTGATAAAAGTTAAAGAGGCTTCATAATCGAAATCACGTTTGTATGTGCAAATTAGCCAGGCGGCCACTGCATCTGCCGACCACCGAGAACATGCAGATGCAGATGGAACACTGACTGCGCACCGTGCTTTCCGTCGTTGAGAACTATGCGAAATCCATTCTTCAAACCTTTTTGCTTCGCAACTTTATTAGCGACATTCATCAGATGACCAAGCAGAGGTTCATCCTCATCTTGAGCCTTGGAGAGTTGCGAAATTGGCTTTCGAGGAATCACCAGAAAGTGTACAGGTGCCTGAGGGTTTATATCATCAAACGCGACGCACTGTAAATCATGAAATATATTTAATCAATTAACATAAGCATTTTGTTGAAAAAAAAAAAAAAACAATTGGATATAACTTCTATTAATTAAAAACAATATATTTCTTAACTGAAATCAAGCTATTATTAATATGAAAAATTAATTTCTCTATATTATATGTAAATACATTTCTCTGTAATCTATATCTATATTAATATTTCAAGCAATAAGTTTTCTAACGTAACAAGTCAACTCGTCAACTATAGTCTATGACAATTCAGCAGACTCGAACAAGTGGTTATATAATAATTATGTGTAGATAATCGTGAATAGCAAATCATTTTAGATAATTGGACAGAATTTTTTCTGCATACATGAAGTAAATGCAATACTTCACGAATATCTATTAGGTAGTAATACAATTAATTTTAACGTTTAAAAACACATTGGCTCATCTTAGCACTTTTTGTATTACGACAAATTAATATTGTACACAAAATAACGTAAAATATTTTCGACAACAAATCTGAATGCAGAGCGTCGGCACGACGCCGGTCGATCGGATTTGCCATCTGATTCCAAGAGAAACCGTAAAATCTCATGTGTCATGACACAGCTTACCTGGCTGTCCTCGTAAATGAATTTGCACGGGATCTCTTTACGTATTATCTTCCCAAATATCGTGTCACCTTCCGGCGCGGCGGATTGCGCCTTCTCCACCTCGGTCGCCATTTTTCTCCAACTGGCAGAGCCGACCGGCACTATCGATAGGTTGCCTACCTGACCTACTGCCAGATGTTTGTACGCGGTTACGACGAAGCTCGATAGTAATCTCATGTCAAAAATCGGTGACGTCGTCGCGACTACGAGAATCAGTGTCGCGAGTATCGTTTCGTTCGCGTTATGTACGCGTTTTCGTTATCTTATTTCTGGTTTCCACTTTATTTATTACGGGTCCGAAGGTCGCGACGTTCGCGTCAGTCAGTCAGTGCAGCCACGATTGAGATATCGAGGCGCGAGTTTCAATTCCGGGAGATCGCTGGAAGGTCAGAAACTATAATCACTAACGAACGCTTTCTCAACGGATTGCTTTCTATATTTCTTACGAGTATAGTTAGCAAAAAAAAAAATAGGGAAGTTTACTGACGGATAAAAATATCGGGGGAGATCGCTCGCGAGACAGAGTTCTGCGTGTAAAACTATAAAATTTTTATTTCATAGGACAGTCTTCTCTTATTAATGCGCTTACTTTTCGACGTCTTAATACAATAATGCACCTTTAGAGGCATATAAATATTGTCACTTATTGCTTTATACACGTGTCGTCGATATTGTACATTAATAAAAATATTAATGATGGCAATGGCTTATATGATACAAAGTATGGCAGTGCGCTTTCTGGTTTTTTCTCCGGAAGATTCTTAAATCAATTCCTGTGCTCCTAATATGGGTCGCAAAAGGCCCCAGTCTTAGAAAAGTAATTCTACTTGTAAAAAATATACATAACATTAAGCTTAAATTTACACTACTATTCGCATCTCGAACCCAAATCTAAGTTGAATATGTTTATACGTACGATCGCTTTCGTATCTCTAATAGGATTTGCCGTAACTATACGCGTATCTTACGAAACTTAATGTATAAATGTCGTGCATACAATTAAATTATTAACCACTAAATAATAACTGCTGTGTGAAATTAAAAAAAAAAAGAGTTACTGAGAAGTGTAGAATTCATAACGTCATTATAAAAAGACGATTGACTGACACACATTAAGACATTACTACGTAAATAAATAACATATCAAAAATAATAATAATCGCTTCATTTTCACATTGTACATTAAGGTATGCCTAGGATAAATTAACTTAAATATTATGAGCTTATATCGCAAAGTTAGTTACATTGTTATTACGGTTAATAACTTAATTACGTAAGGCTAATTGTATAAAAAAAAGTAAGGGATATGTATAATGACTATTATTTAATACGGCGCAAGAAATTTTAAATGCTAATTGAATTTATAGTATTAGCATTTATACGCACGCGTGTGTTTGTTAATACTCGGATTAGATATTTAATAATCAACGTGTTATTACAGTAATTCTACATGTGTACTATATAATTCATACTGCAGTATGCTTTAATGTCATTCATATTTGTATAATAGAAATAGAAATATATATATATATATATATATATATATATATATATCTACATATATATACTTCTATTCCTGAATATAATTACGTCAGTCTGGGTTTGCCAGTTAATCCAGCAATAAGTCTAGATAACTTACGGAACAGTCGTTATACGCCCTCTTCGGAAAAGTATCGGTGTCTTACGGCTTGAGCTGCAGTTATACGACTATGAGGATCAAACATGAGCATATTTCTTATTAAGTCTAATCCATCTTCATTGAGATCTGGTATTATTAAATTGAGAGGTGTGGGACGTCTGTATGGAAAAGCATTCCAGTTGAGCGATACGTTCTCCGGCCACTCTTCCTGCGACGGAGTACCCAAAACTCTAAAATGAAAGGGCGAAAAATATATATATAGAGAAGCAGAATATTAGGAAATGCAAATTTTATTATAAATAAAACATAACAGAAAGGAGAGTGTAACTCACTGGAAAATCCTGTCCAGCTGATCACCTTCACTGGTACCTGGGAATAACGGTTCCAACTTGCAGAGTTCCGCCAGTATGCATCCGACAGACCAAATATCTACAGGAGTAGCATAGGAACATCCTAAAAGTACTTCAGGTGCTCGATACCATTGGGTTACAACCTAAATAAAATAGTTTTATCAATTGCGATATTATATGATACAGGATACAACAGACATTGCTTATTTTCTTTGAATCATAGACATCCTAATTGGAAATAAAAAATAAAACGGCGATTGTTTTAATGCCGATACATTATTACTTATTTAATATTTGAAAATTATATAAAAATACACATATATAAAGTAATAAATAGGCATGGATAAATAATAATCAAGCAACAATCAATAGTCAAACAATATTTTTCAGTCAATTTTAAATCACTTTAAATTTGTTAAAAAGGAGTACAGTAAATAATCTCTTTTAATTTTAAATAACATATTTTTTGTGTATAAATCAAAATATTATCTCCTCGAATCTGTGATCGACAAGAAGCGCATAATTTATGATATGTTGTATATGTGATATCTACAGACGTACCACGGAAGTTAATCTCATCTCAAAGCCGTAGGTCTTAGCCAGACCGAAATCCGCGATCTTGATTCTCCCTTCCCGCGTTACTAGAAGGTTTTGCGGTTTCAAATCCCTGTGTATTATTCTATGGCTATGCAGGAACTCCACCCCACAGAGTATCTCTTTCAACATTTGCCTCACGAGATACGGCGGAATACTCGATCGCGGCGAGCTGGTCTGATAATGAGCTATGTACGAAGCGAGATCTCTTTCCACGTGTTCGAACACCAACCAGAAAGTGACACCATGCTCGGGCCTTTCAAATGTACCATCACCCGACGATATGTCAAGATGATCTGCTCCTTGGCAGATATCCAGTAGTCTGACCTGAGGATAAAGAAGAGAAAATATGAGTATCTGTGCCTACAATATGATTTAAGAACATAACAAAGGAATAAAAACATTCTGCTTCGTGATATTTAGTTTATGATAAAATAAAAATAAAAAATATTGAAGATCTCTGCAATATATATGGTATGTATAGTTGTTAAAGATTATATATTGTAATTAAGAAGAGATACTTACAATATGTGGATGCTCGTGGTGTTCGAGCGACTTCAGGGTAGCAATCTCTCTTACTGTCGACGTGGGCAGACCATCCTCCGTCAAAGGTATCCTGACTCTCTTAAGCGCTACGGTTTGACCGCTATTCTTATCTGTAGCTTTGTACACCGTCCCGTAAGCACCGTTCCCGATGACGGACAGGTTCTCGAACGACGACTCCCGCTCGCGTAGCGAGAAGAAACTCTGCACCATCGTTTCCCCTGGTCTTCTTCTGGAAGGACCAGAGAGCTCGCCCTGATCGCTGTACTTCATTACAACGGATTTCAGCGTCTTGAGCTGCTCTTCCCTCGAGGTGCTCGGGATCGCTTCCGTTGAGGTCGACGCGGCGCCGCTGTCTCGTCCGGGGAGATCCGTTTCGGACGACCGCTTGGCCGAATCCGGGGACGTTTCACTGATCGAAACCGATTGCTCCGATGCTTCTTCTGCCTTCGATGTTTCTTCAGCCTTCTGCTCCGTAACGTCTGAGAGCTGTTTGTCCCCTTCCCGAACGATCTCTGTCTGTAAAGAGATCTCACTTGTGCTCGGTGTCTCGGTACTTTCCACTTCCGTTAGGTACTTCCCCTCAGACGATTCGGAGGTTTCGGATTGCCTGGGCCTTTTCGGGACGGTTGGCGTCGATAAATCCGGTTCGAGCTCTGTGCTCGAACGTCGTGACCTACCAGCCATCACGACATCTCGACTACTACCTGAAACAAGATTTGATCTTATTGTCTATTATGGAGATAACGAAAGAAAGAATGGTCATTTCTTGAAAAAGAGAAAACTTCGACATTTCTTTAATTTTTCAAAAGCAGAATTTTTTCAAGATATTTCAAAAAATTTTCAAGTAATTTTCTATCAAGCTTTTAAGAATTACATATTAATGAGTGACAAAAGCTTTTATTGCAAATAATTATTCATGCAGAAATAAATTGAAACGTATAATTCAATAGGGAAGTCGATAGTTTCATGTTATAGACGCGATAAATGAGATATAAATTTCTTATGGCACAAAAAATACCGAGAGTTCAATAAACTTCAATTTCTCTAGGGATAATTTTTCAGAGAGATCGTATTAGTCTGTATATATTTTAATATAACAATTATATAAAAATTTAATTTATTTTCAAATGCAAATCGTAAACAAATGTAGTGAGAGGCGGCAATTATAAATAGCTGAACTTGAATTTTATAACGGTCTTATATTTTCGCTCGCTGATTTCGATCTTCGCTTATCGTCAACGAGCTCCCCGATAGGTCCGCATCTGTGCGAAAATACGCGAGGATGAGATGCATAATGCATCTCGTGCGGATATCGTAGCACGTGCATACGTGTTTGTACAGTCGCGCTTGCGACACACGCGCGGGGTTCGCGTCGTGAAGCAGATACACGGGTCATCAGCTCGCTTCCCTCTTTCGCGCTTGCGTTTTATTAAAATTTCGAGACGGTACCGCAAGCGGGACGCGCGATCGTGGCGAGCCGTCTGCTACGCGACATCTGCACCGACACCTGCGCTCGTATAATAGCCCGCTACGCCGGCCTCATCGTCGGCTTTCCAGAACATCTTGTAAACGCAAGGGAGGCCCTCCTAAACTCCACTCGGGTCTTTGCCCTTTGTTTTCTTCGGGTTCAGTAATTGCGGTTGCGCGAAAAATTTATCAGTCAAATACCTCAAGAGTCAAAAAGAAGAAGTATGTCAATTGCGACTTATCGGATTATTAAGTCATTTTTTTTAGAAATCTTATAGGATATTCCCCGAGCACTTCGCTACTTTTGCTATAAGTAACAGTCAAAATGATTTGCTATACGAACCGATAAAAAATCTAATGAATAGTCGCTTCTTTTCACGATGTTTACTTCCGACATGACACCTGATAGCAAGTTATTTTTTTTCTCCGTTCAAAATAGATCTCGGATTTTGTGAATTATGTCAACTATTAATTATAACATGAATGATGCGTGTCTCACACACTTGACACGGATGCATAAATTTCGTGACTTCCGTACGCGAAAAATTGTGATAATTTCGAATGAGAGAGGAGATATTGGGCCACACGAAATTATGAGAGAAGATCCGTACGGCATAATTCAAATGGTTTAAATAGCCGGATGCCGAAAAAAGGCGCCCGTCTCTTCCAGAGGAAATAATAAACTACACTGTTATCACTTCGTAATTTCTTAGTGGCATATGGCCGTTAGTTGTGGGAAGGCGAAAGGATACAGATAGTACAACATCATTGATTCAATATCACGCACAAAACACATTTTTCTTTATATTACGAAAAAATCCCTAAATTTTTACGTTTAGTCACGCAATGATGGCATTAGTAAAATATTTTCGCTGTATTATGTTAATAACAGACTAAAACGTTGAATGACCTATATTGATGGTTTCAAAGAACGCTTCGCGAACGGATGTACTCTCGCGGCTTTGATTAAATTCTTCTATCAACTTCCTCTTACGATAACAAATTCTAATTAGAAAAGCTGAGCGGAAGGAAGGAAGGAGTGAATGAACGGACCAACGAATGAAGGAAAGAAGCTGACTTCTACATTTACGAGAGAAATTTTTTTTCCTTTTCGCAATGACATCGAGCTAGAGGAAAGGAAAAGAGACAGGATATTTCCAGGGAGTAAATTTTTAAGAGGGATCATTGTGGAAAAATTCCGGACGGCGAGGATCTGTTGCGAAGTGAAAGAAGTGAAAGGGAAAAAAAGGGAAATGTATGGGCGATTCATGGAACTGGAGAAAAACATGTCTTCGTTCCGGAGGCGACCAGCAACTTTGTATGTACAGAGCCCGTTTCCACGTGGCATTATCTCGAGACCACCTTCCTGGAAGAGGCAGATGTTTCTATACGGTTTCGTTAGATACCGAGAGGAAGAAACAGTGAAGTCGATGAAGCGTAGTCTAGCAACATTTTTTTTTTCGTGTTTTTAAAAACACGTTTCGAGAAGATGGAGGTAGGTGTACCTACTCTGTCCGCACTTTACAATTACTTTTCGTTCGCATTCATTTCCGTTAATGATGCGCCAACAATTTATTTTCGCTGGTAACACAATGTAATACACTTGCAAATACAATGCCTGCGTACTCCGCACATGCTGTCGGGACACATAGGGGAAAGACTAATGGAAATACTATACTCAATTCCATCACCGTGGCTATTATTTTTTTATTAATGCGAGTAGATAATTTGTATGGTAATCGTACACAAAGAATATGCGTCTTTCTCTTGCAAGTCTCTAAAATTACAAAAAAACATGTCCGATCAGTATTTTATGTTCTTTACAAAAACCATAACTATTGTCAACTGCATTTTTTACAACATGACATTTTTTGTTGCAACACTTTCACTTGAATTTCAATAAATCCATCGATCTCGCACGGTTTCCGAAAGTTGCCATTTACGCTGTAAAATATTGCGTACCAGTGGAAGTCTACCGCAAATGGGTATTCTTTGGGTACTCTTAGCGTTTGAACGGAACAATAGACGCCTTTCCCTCTTTCCGAAGTGATCTTCGTTTTATTGTCTGCAAAATCTTTTCTGCTCTCGTGCCCTTGAAGTACAGGAGGGGAAACGATATTTTTTTCCACATTGTTACATCTGCAACGTCACGTGAAAAGGACGAGAACGGTCCAAGAATAAGTTGACGCAGTAGATAAGCGGTCGGAACATTCCGCGGGGAAAACTGATAAACTCGAAGTCTTCGTGCTAGATAAACAACCGTATACGCGAAAGAGGATACTCATCGGTGTACCGAAGAAAGAGGTTTAACTGAATCTTGGCTTAACCGTCTAAAACTGAGACGCGCTGACGTGACTCGACTCGGCTTCGGAGACGTGAAATCGCGCAATGCTCGTCTTAGAAAAACATGACTTCCGCTGGCAAATTAGATAACGTAAAGAACTTTCGAACGTCGAGTTACTCAATCGTCTTATCGTATTGCTCGGCAAAGTACATACATACTCTTGATGATACACACGGACTCAGCACAATTTCCGTGTGTATAAATAAATCCGAAATTGAAAAACAAACGATGCAAAGGCAAGTATTCTGACTTATGTACGTACGACAACGTTACATCCGTCAGCATTGTGTTAGATAGAACTGTCATTCTGTGTTTATACTTCGGGATGTAAAAGATAAAAAATAATATAAAAATGTAATTGAAAAAAATTAATGAAGCTGTTAAAAAATCGTAAACATTAGAGAAAAATTTAGCTTAAACTTTCTTAATCTCTCGTCCCAATTATTGTAAATCTCGAAAGAAAGAAAGAGAAAACACACCGTTAAAACGCCCTCATTAAATTATTATGGCGCATTACCCCACAGGAAGATCGTTTCCCATCAAAATCATTTGGTGTTCAACTCATTAAATTCCTCGCGACGATTCGATATCACCGAAATTTTAGCTCCCGTGGTTTCCATGAAGTTACACGTGTCACGATTATTTACGTATTACGCGTAGCGCGTAAATCATATGGGACGCCTCAATTGCATCATAATTGAAGCCGCATTTACGGCCCATTGTTTGCAAAGTCGAGCATCAACGCACGTTGGATGAATGAATGGCTACACGTGAGTCTAAATACAGTGCAAAATACACTGCGCGTTATTAATTCATCGTGACCGGGTATAGATAGGTGCAAAATGGTGCTAAAGCTCGTAATCTCTCTTTCAAATCTCGGCAAATAGCGATCCGCTTTGTTAAAAATCTCAAATTTCTTGTGTTATCTTACGAATTCTCGATCGAGTCTCTAATATTAACTTTAGAATGCACAAAAGAGGTCGATCACTCTAAATGCAAGTCGTCGATTATCTTATCTCAATCCCGGCATCCGCGCTACAACTTCGTAACGAGAGTAACGATAAGGAAAATTACATAAGATTACTTTTATACGTACTTATATTTTATCATTGCTATGAATATATAAAATTTTGATTATAGATAAACAATTTAATTAAATCTAGCAAAAAAATCAGAAAAATCATCACAAACGTAAAATGAGTACTCAAATAAATTCGTGAAATTCGAGCTCTCTCTCTCTCTCTCTCTCCTCTCTCTCTCTCTCTCTCTCTCTCTATATATATATATATATATATATATATATATCTTATACAAATATATTTGTATTAAAAATCTTGTTATAAAATTATTATTAAATTGAAAATGTTATTCATCACAATAGAATGCGATAACAACATCTTCTTCTCAATGAAGAATTGAAAGACAATCATTTGCAATTGTCAAGTGGACGGAAAGTACCACAGAAAAGGCAGTTATATGTAGAAAGGCGAGTGGAATGTTATTTGAATTTGAATAATCATTCGATAAAATAGACGACAAAGAACGTCGTTCTTCGCCGCGGAGGAACGCGGTGACGGTCTAATTAAGAACTCGAATAATTTATGGCTGCCGCGCGTCGGCCCTATTCAATTAAAGACGCTGAAAATACCACGGATCTTTGACGATATTCCCGGGGCTTTCGTTTGCTACGCTAGACTACCGAACCGAATAAACAGGGCGTCGTTGCTTCCAGATTATCCGCGGGATTGACACTACTATGCACTCAAGTCTTTCACACAACAAACACAACTTGCTCAACACTCTCATTCACTTCTATTTCTAGAACGAAAAATCGGGCGTAAGCGTACTAGGGCAATACGCATACTCTGTACTATCATATATCTTTTTGAAGAC